TTATCATTGAGGGCAGAAATTGCTGCTGATGTAGAATCAAAAAAGTTTTGAGTTTGTAAAATGTAAAGTCAATGTCTCTTGAGGGCTTCTGTAACTACTTGAGAGCCCCTCAAGATTTTGGTGTATCCCTTGTTAATCACAATACTATAGTTTAGGTCATCTAGGACACCTAAGGATATCAAATTTCTTGTAGGTCAGGAACATACCAAGTCTTCTCTAAGATCAATTCATTATTACCATCCAACCTTAAGGTGATTGTTCCTATTCCTTTTACCTAACAAGACATGTGATTACCCATTAACACTTGACCTCCATTTACATTTTCAAACTCACTAAATTACTCTATTTTAGGACACATATGAATGGTGCAACCTGAGTCAAAGATCCACTCCTGACTAGGTGGATTGTGTATAGCAACATAGACCTCATCTACATTGTACTCATTTTCATAAGCCAAGGCAGCACACCATCATTATTAGACTTATTTTTCAAGTCATTAAGTCTCTTATGACAATCTTTGATAAAATGACCTTCACCTAGACAGTAAATACATTTTTTACCCTTAGTCTTGTTTTTCATTTTATCTTTAAAGTTCACCTTCTTCTTGTGTCCAGGTTTCTTATTGAAATTGGCCATCTTTGGGTTTGAATTAGGTTTGGACTTAACCATTAAATTTTCACCACTAATAGATTCTCTTTTTTCAGATTTTAACTTGATAAGTGTGTTTTTGCACACTTATTTATATCACAAACATGACTTAAATACAAGTAAAATGATTGAATTATTACTTAATTTTTTTGAATTCATGCAATGTAGGTGATTCTATGGAAATAGTGGAATTCAGGAGAAAGGGGCCGAAAAAAAGACCAAATTGGAGCAAAATGAAAATTCAGGGACCAAATTGTAATTATCTGAAAGTTGATCCGATGAACACATCAAGCAATTGATCAAGCTAAGCACCAATTGGAAGTTATAATGGAACATTGGAGCAACTAGAAACAAGAGAGGAGGTCAAGGATTGAAGGAATGAAACTTGAGGATCAAAATGACTCAATTTAGAAGTTTACTCTACTATGCGGTCGCATAGTAGAAAACCTATGCGGTCTCGAGTAACCCTCCAGGGATTAAAAACGTCATATTTCATATACCTATGCGGTCGCATAGGTATAACCTGTGCCCGATTTTTGCAGTTTCCTTATATAATTGCAACTCCTTTGATAACCTAATTTCGACGGGTTTAAATAGCAAATAAACATCCAGAAGCCGCACGAACGAATTGGGAGGCAAAAATATTCGTTTTGGAGAGGATTTGAAGGCAAGAACAAGAATTGATGCGAAAATTTACAAGATTTCTTCAAGTTTTGATAACCCGGTGATGTATTTTATTCAAAACTTGATAGATTTCGTTATTTTTATCATGATAGGCTAGATTTTCTGCAACTAGGTGATTGATGAACCATGTAATTATTATTAAACTTTTTATTTCATGACTTTGAATTCATCGTTCGATGGAATTATTTGAATGAATTATATTGCTTTATTTATTTCCACAATTAATGTGCACTTAATTTGTGTGAATTTGGTGGTTTAATTCTGAATTTGAGAAAATTGGATTAAACTCGACATATATAATTCATCATAGGGTCCGATAGGGGATAGAAATATACCCGTATACCATATGTAAATTTTTAATTGCTCACAAAATAAAATTACAAGCATTCTTGTATAATTGCATCCGTCATAGAAATATAGGCTGGTGATTTATGAGAATAGGTTCAATACATCTCGAGAGAAAGTATTGAATAGATTTAGGAGCATTGATTTGTCAAATTCTCATTGGATTATCAAAATTGTGAAATTAGGGTTTAATTAGTAATTATTTGGGGATTTGTGATCCTAGTGTATTCGTTTTATTTCATAAATTGACAATACATTTCATTTATTTTCATAACATTTCATAATTGAGTCATTCTTTAAGTGAATTTGAGTAATTAGGGTTTGATTTGAAATTAGGGTTTTCAATTTGGGGATTTCTCCCAAAATTAGGGTTTGATTTGAAATTAGGATTTTTCAATTTGGGGATTCCTCCCAAAATTAGGGCTTTTAATTCTAAAATTCATCTTAAATCAATTAGTTTCGGTTAAAGCTAAAATAAATAAAATTGAACTACTCTTTCTCTGTGGGACGATACTCGGACTGCTAAAGTCCACTTTATTACTTGTCACGGCCCGTACACTTGCGGTAATTTAAATCGAAAGAAATATTTCGCGAACATAACTCTAACTCTTTGTTTCTCAATGCATTTATTATCACATCATTAGTTAGAGTCTCCCTTCCATATTCAATAGTATTTTTAACATCTTTATATTTATCACTTATTGAATTTAACAAGACCACAGCCAGCTGATCTTTTGAGAGTTTCTCATCACAGTCGGCTAGGTCACGGGATAATCTGTTGAATCTATCAATATTTGCCTCAAGATCAAGAGATGGATCCAATTTGAAACCAAAAAATTGTTTTAGAAGATACACTTTATTAGGCATAGTTTTATTTAAATAAGTATCTTCCAATTTTTTCCATAACTCAGCAGCAGCTTTTGTCTCACCAATCTCTCTTAACACTTTGTCAGACAAATGCAAGAATATAGAACTCCATGCAATTTCATCAAGTTCAATTATCTTAGTTTCTTCCATATCATCAAGCCATGACTCATCAAGGGCCTTTGCACATTTCTGTTGAAGTAAAAGAGCTTGCATTTTCTAGCGCCAGAGACTAAAGTCTCCTTTACCATTAAAAATTTTCAGTTTAACTTTTGTTGACATAATCAAAACACAATTTGATCATACAGTGTGCAGGCAAATCACTTGCAAATATGATAGTATATATAACTTGCAAGAAGTCAAATATCATACACAATAAACAAAATTAGAGTGTACAGTTAACAAGTTGTATGTGTCAAATTATTCAGTAAGTAAACTTAGCAGTTCATTCTCTATAGAATAGGCAGTTTACTCAAAAATAGCTCATATAAAGTACTCAGCAGTTCATTCTCTAAAGAATAGGCAGTTTACTCAAAAACAGCTCATATAAAGTCACATATACCTAAGTCACAGCATACTATGTACAGAGTAAGAAATACATGCAAGAATCATGTAATGAAACTAGATCGTTGACTGAAGTCAAGGCAACCCTAAGATTCCAGACAACTCAAGAGGTTTCTGGACATGGGTATTGCCAAGAGAAGTCACAACTCTAGGGTTTAAGGCTCTGTTGCAGAAATCTCATAGTACAGGCAACTACAGTATATGTAACTCAAAGAATATGGAACGAACTCACCAAAGAAACCTTGTTAGGGTTTCACGAAAATAACGAGTTCAACTGAACCAGTGCAAGAAACCTTCAAATCTACCAACACCGACGCCAAGAACCACCGTCAACTAGCTCTGATACCACTGTTACGATAAGTTCAAGAAAATCAGCCCACTTTATTTCACAAAAATAAGAAATAATAAACTGCAAATGAAAGAAACATAAAAAGAAAACGCAAAGAACACGATATTTTCGCCCTAAGGCAAGAGGTTCGGAAGTGGAGTTCCTAATCCCCTTTTGAGCTTCCACCACCGGAAGGAATCACTATATTAATCGGAATCTCCAAAAATTACATTTCACAGTTCATGGCACTCAGGCGAAATCACACTAAGATTTCGCACACAATAACCCATACTGCATATTAGAATATCCACTCAAGGATTACGCCCTATAAAACCACTCGAGATCTATTATGGGGCTAAAATTACAATCAAATCTACAGGGGGCCTTTTTGAGTGCAAAGGAGAATCGAAGAACCAACAATCGAGAGAGAACCAAGAGTTCGAGAGAGAGCTGGTAAAAATGAAAAGTCGCGGCCTCTCAAACCCTAGAAGCCATATTAATATCGAAGGAGCTAGAAGGTTCCTCATCAACCAAAAGCTGATTGACACTTGGCAAGATCTGGAGCGTCTGTTCTTATTAAAGAAAAACGGGTTTCAGTAACACGTTTTATGCCAAGCCGGTCAGCCCAGCTCAAGTGATCAAATGATCCAGCCCACAAGCCCATCAGTTTTAATAGTCCAGCCCAATTATCATTATGCCACAATATTTTTCTCTACAGATCGCTATCCTAGAATCTAAACAACTTCAACCACTTTTACCTATTCTAAACAAGAGTTTATATGCCTCCATCATTCTTCCACAATTACAACACTACTTATGTATAATCAATTCACTATCACAACTAAAGATAATAATTAAACGATTAACAAGAACATGAGCAATGCCAAAAGCTTAATGTATACTGACACTTAAAATAACTAAAATAGGAAAGGAAATTCAGCTTATCTGAAGGTGAATGAGATCAGATACTGGGTGAACACTACTCAACAGACTGAAAATGCACTAATTCCTCTTTGGTTTACTGCAATTATTTCCATTTTCATATCACAATAGATAATGTAACAACCTCCCTCTAGTTGTAAATTTGTATAGTAGGTTGAGAAGATTGTGACGGTTTGTGGATGGGACGAGTCGGTCGGAGGTGGAGATGAGTGCGTCGATTGTGGACAGACGTCTTCTTCGGAGGTAAAGATAGTTTCCAAGGTTCCGAATCAAGGAAAAGGGGAAGTAAGATAGGCTACTGGAGGTGGATTTCACAGTGGTGATACGTCGATCATGCGACCGAATGTGGATTTCACAGAGACGATTTTTAAGGTTCCCAATGGAAAAGTCGAGAATTACATTTACATACACTTGTCTTCTGCGTTCGTCCCTTTTTCCCTTTGGTTATTTTATTTTCATTTTTTATTAGGTAGGTACCACATCATTCCGTGAGACTTCTGTGAAACAGCATTCTGTATATCTAGCACGGTTGTTTAAAATGGGACTGGGTCAATTGTTTTACTATTTATTCAAATAATAATTTTAAATCTACATGGCGTCAGGCCTATATTGGGCCAATACCTGCTAGGTGTAGCTGGCCCGTACCCGCATATTGACAGTTGACACCAATAAAAAAATTTCCCCTTTCTACCGAATCTAATCCCTAATTCGTAAAATACTCGCAGTATTCATCGGCAGATCAAATAATCATTTGATTACAGAAAAATGACGGAGGCCGTGATTCGGAAGAAGGCAGGAATGGCGAGCATTAAGGACATGCCGGTACTTCAGGATGGCCCACCGCCGGGCGGGTTCGCTCCAGTCCGGTTCGCACGTCGGATCCCCAGCAAGGGCCCCAGCGCCATGGCCATTTTCTTTGCGGCTCTTGGTGCCTTCTCCTGGGGCATGTACCAAGTCGGTAAAGGCAACAAGATCCGCAGGTAATCCCTCCGCCATTTCTCACTCAACAGACTCACAGTATATATACCTGTTTATGTGAAATCATGTTTCAAATTGGGCGTTTGAAGAATCCTAACTGGTTTGATTTCGGGACAGATTTATTTACTTTGTAATTTCAGCAAGACGTTAGGCTAGAATTACAGAAGAACAAATCCATTTACTGAATTAGTGTCCCTTCAAGTTATGTATCACCTACAGGCCTAACTGTCATATATTTGTACTGACACAACATACAGATTTCTGAGCTGAATATTATGACAATTTATGCAGTTCTTGACAATTCAAAATTCTTTTGTTCTGACTTTTGTGTTCTTGGTGAAATGTCTTTCTACAGTGGTGTTTTTTGGAGCTAGCCAGATAACTCTTAAATTGGCTCCAGAAAAGAAGTCTGGTTGACAATGCATGTTATATGGGTACAAATATCCGTGCATTGTTAATAGATATATGAGTATAAAGATTGAGTTTTTCTATGGTTGGTCTCTGATTTCGTCGGTGAGAGTGGTGATTTCTTGAAACTTTTGGGAGAACCCCGAGTTGTAGAAAAGAGGATTTGGTTTTGAATCATTCAAACTGGGTTTTCTGCAATATTACCTATATTGTTTAGATTCTTATATAAATTGTTTTAGGAGTGTATTGATGATATAGACTTCTTCCTTCCCTAGGAGATCATTACAGTTTTCAAAGAGTTCTTTTGAATTTAGTCATAGAATATTGCTATAAGACAAATGATTTGTCATATGCACTAGTTGTGAGCTTTCTGACCTATGAATATGCCGCCTTGATATTACAGAGCTTTAACTTTTATAAATTTGATTACATGATGGAGAAAGTAGGAAAACCATAACCAGTTGATACCTGATAAGTATGATGTTACTTTCACTAACTATTCCAGACTGAGTGGTATGCTCTCTTTAAAATTGGTTGAGTGATGCTCTGTGTTGCACCCGAGGTTATATGGTTCTTATATTGTGGAAAGAAACGGGAGTTAAAACCATGGGAAAACCTTCATTGCCGATAGAGCACATCCATCACTTCTTTGGTCTATGACTCTCAGCCATAGATTTTGGTCTGAGTGATGGATGCAATTGAAGCTTGTGCAACATTGAAAAATTATATAGCTCAAACCAATATGAATCTTGGCATTGATTTTGGCATATGTGCTTTAATGTGATACTAGACATGTTTGGGAAGTTATCAGACGAACTAATGCACTCCACTCTCTATAGTGCTAAATTTACTCCTTTTTCTTGTTTTAACCATAGTTTTGCCATCTCTAATATATCTCTTCATGTACAAGTGGAGTTGCACTTGTAGGGGAGTTTTGGAGTTTGACCCATATCAAAAAGTATAACTTTTCCAAACCTGTGTTATTAGTCTAATTTTCCTGTTAGACTTAATATCATTTGATTTTGATAATAGATGTTTAAAAAAAGTACCATGGTCAACATTTTTCACATTATTTTCATTATGATTTCCCTTCTTATGTATTAGTGGGAACAACCCATGTATCAGTGCAACTGTCGAAGGCCCACTAAGATCAAAGATGTGCTGTAATTTTTCAACAGCCTGTTTTACGTGTCTATATTGTATTTCACCCACACTAAGCTGCACGTTATTATTTGTTTGGAGAGATAATGTTATTTGTTCTTTAAATTTGGGATCACCTGGTATAGCCAGTAAACTGGGACAAAGTTCATTACATAGCCAGTTATATATTTTTACCTATATAGATGTGCCTGATTCCAATTCTTTGGAGAGAGATGATCATTTGGTATAGTGGAAGTATTGGGACGAAGTTCATTTCTGAAGCTTTCAATGTGAAGGGATTTGGATTTGGTCCGCTTAAAGAAGTATACATAGACTGTGGAGCAGTTGCTGGATCTTTCTGTATCTAGCTTACACTTCCTTTTTGTATAGTTTATTATATAAAATTTAATATAAGGGGTCACCACCAAGCAAGTTTCCTGTAAAATTTATGAAACTAAAATGAAGGAAAAATCTCAATATGATCTTGAAAATTGGCAGTAGGAATTCTATATTAATGATGTAATCTAGCACTTTCCATTCCATTTGGGGATCAAATATCGATAGATAGAGAAGGAGGTAAGTCTTGACATCAGTTTCTAATGCACGTTCATGCAAGCATATGATTTATGTACTAGTAGTTCTCATGTGCTTTTGAACTTGTATAGCTAATATTTACATGGTGCAGATCAAAGGAACCAAGCTTTGTGTTTGAAATTGGCCTACTTGTTTTGTTTTGGTTTCTGTTTAGCAAACACTTCCATTGATAGCTTATTAAACAATTAACTTTTTTGGGTGAAGATATGGTATTATGTATAAAAATGTGGTGTTCACTGAAGGACTAGGGATGTGTGTAAGAGACTAAAGACTTTCATTTATTGAATCTTGGTCGTTATGCTTGAGGATGGAACTTGTATACGGGCTAGAGGAATGTGATGAATATAATGATCAACTTCAGCTCTCTGACATAATGAAGACCTTTCATTCTGCTTTGGCCCACTCCACCACAATTTTTTTTTTTTAATAGGTAATCAGAATTTTATTAATTAAAAGAGATTTCACGGGATGTGTACAATCACTTTAAGTAAGAGAGGAACGACATGAAATTAAGCAACCCTTCTATAGGATTTTTAGCCGTGGCATTAAACTAATTATATAAAGTCAAATAAAACATTTCTTTAATCTGCGTTATTGTCTTTGTTTGATCTTCGAAATAGCGATTGTTCCTCTCTCCAAACACACCATGCAATGCATTCTGGAATAAGGTTCTATACAAGTTTGCTATCCTTATCACGAAATTTTTTCCCCCATGCCTGCAATATACATCCTCTATACGCCTTGGCAGCATCCAAACCATAGATTGAGAAGCCAGCATATTGTTCCATAGTCAACGAATACCATCACAATAAATGAACAAGTGGTCTACCGTCTCCCCATCCCTTTGGCACATATAGCACCACTTGATCACATAAAAGTCTTTTCGTCGAAGATTATCCACCGTTGACACCTGCACCCTCACAACCGTCCACAATAAGAATGCTATCCATGGAAGCAATTTGCTTTGCCACACCAGCTTCCAGTGGCATGAACTCTTCGTAGGTCCTAAAAGAGATCTAAAATAAGTGCGAACAGAAAAGATACCATCTCGTGCCAACTTCCACCTGTTACAATCATTCTCTCCTACTCGAATTTGTACCTTATGTAGAGATGTCAAAAGCAACGAATAATTATCCAACTCCTAATCCTATATGCCCCTCTCAAAAGTAATATTCTAGTTGTAATTTCCATTATAAATGGCTAATACATCACTCACCATAGCAGAAGGCACTAAAGAAATGTGGTGCAAAGAAGGAAATCCTAACTTCAGCAGTTGATCACAACACCAACAATCATCTCAGAACATGAAATCATTACCATTCCCCACCACAAAATTTAGTTTATCCTGAAAATCACTCCATTCCCGTCGGATATACCTCCACAAACTCACCCCATAGGAACCACGACCCTCAACCGTACACCAACCACCTTCATCACACCATACTTCTCTATGATTTCTCGCCAAAAGTTCTCTCTCTCTACTCCAAATCGCCACAACCACTTACATAATAAGGCCTTATTAAATAAAACAAGGCTCTTAACTCCAAGGCCTCCCATCCTCACAGGCGAGCAAACAATACCCCCAATTAACCAAATGTAGTTTTCTCTTCTCCCCCACCCTTGCCCAGAGAAATTCCCTTTGCAATCTCTAATTTATTTGCTATTGCAACCGGAGTAGGGAACTACGACAAAATGTAAGTAGGGAGATTAGAGAGAGTGGATTTAATGAATGTAAGTCGGCCTCCCTTAGAGAGATACATACGCTTCCACCCTGCTAACCTCCTCTCCACCATTTCCACAATATAATTCCAAATATGCATACTTTTAAACCGTGCTTCTAACGGGAGCCCTAGATATGACATAGACAACTACGCAACCCTACAACCTTATATGTCAGCCAGCACCTCTATGTTAGCTACCTCTCCTACTGGAATAGCCTCAGATTTCCTTAGATTGATTTTCAATCCGGACACTGCTTCAAAGCATAAGAACAAACGATGCAAGTTCCTGAATTGTTCATCATCTACCTCGCATAAAATCAACGTATCGTCTGCAAATAACAAATGGGACACCTGCAAGTGACTAACCATAAAGCCCTTTATCAAATCCTCTCCCACAGTTCTTTCAAGTATTCTACTGAAAACTTCCATCACAATAACAAATAGCAATGGAGATTGTGGGTCCCCTTGCCTTAATCCTCTACTACTCCAAAATAACCCTCAGGTGTTCCGTTGACCAAAACTGAGAACGAAACAATAGAGATACAAAACTGGATCTACTTACACCATTTATCTCCAAAGCCACATCGCCTAAGCATATACAAAAGGAACCCCCAGTTCACATGATCATAAGCCATCTGAATATTGAGCTTACATAGCATTCCTGGAATCCCCGAGCGCAATCTTGAATCAATGCATTCATTCGCTATAAGCATTGAGTCCAAATCTAGCGCCCTTTTACAAAAGCATTCTGAAACTTGGATACTACTTTCCCTAGCACCTCCTTTAATCTGTTCGTCAGAACTTTCACAATAATCTTATGCATCCCACAGACTATGTTAATAGGGCGAAAGTCCTTAATATCAGTCGCTCCCGGTTACTTAGGGATCTGCACAATAAATGTAGCGTTAGAACTTTTCAAGAACTTGCCACATTAAAAAAAATAGGTAAGAACATCCATAATGTCCGATCACGCTACCTCCCAACATGTTTTGTAGAATGAGAACAAAAAATTGTCCTGTCCAAGGGCCTTATCATCATTCATGCTAAACACTACCTCCTTGATTTCATCCTCCCCAAATGGTCTCTCTAACCAATCGGCATCCTCTTCTGTGATAGTAAAAAAATCCAATCCCTCCAAC